TTTTCTCTCGCACGCTTGTAGTTCATCACTTTATTGATGGAGTCCTCTTCTTTTTTTCTTTTTTCTTTTTGCATGAAATGTTAAATTATAGTAACATCCAAGCAAAATTTAACATGTACAATGTGTCAAAAAATCAAAAGCCCCCCCCCCCCCCATTTCGTGAGAAAAGGAGAGTGTGAAATGAAGCTTATAGTCTGTTCTAAGTCAATCGTGGCCTATACTCAAAAAATATGTGGCCAATAAGTCAAAAATCAAAACTACGAATGGTGTTGCAAGGTGCACGCACACAAATCAAATATATGTCCTATGTCGTGGCTTTCAAAAAGTCATTGACTCCACTTCAAAAGTTAATCAAGTCGTGTGGGTAGATGCTAAAGAGTATCTTGTACACCACATGCTTGATCTTAGCAACAACTTCATCTTCTGCCTTCTTCTCTTCGTCAAATCTGGCCTCATTTCTTACTTGTCATATGTAATATGCCGCGGCACATAATGCAAGTCGCCCAGCCTTGGATTTCATCGTTGCTCCTTTGTACGTCTTGGTGATCCACTTGATTGCACACTAAGAAGTGTAGTCATCTGATGCACAAATCCTATCCATGCTCTGATTCCATCACATACCCTGCAAGTAAAGGGACAGAGGAAAAAAGGTGTAGAATTGTCCCCAATCCACCCTTGCATAAATCACACCTATTTACTATGAGAAGGGGGCGGACTGATCGGGAGAGAATCGAGTCTTCAAGGTCCATCGTGAATTGAGACCCCGTTTGTGTTAGTATTCACCGGGAGAAGAGCAGCAGCGGACAAATCAGGGAGAAGGAAGAAAATGCAAAAAAAAAATCTCTAACCGGCCATGAAAATATGATTCACGAAGCTCCATGAGCAGCTATGTGACACCTTGGTGGATGAAGCCCGCCTACTTTTCTATTTGCTAGATGGTGCCATTTTTCCAGTGAATAAGGCGGCCAAAATGGATGAGTTGAATTGCTTGTCAAGGGTGGACGCACCAGGGAAAAGCAATAGAAAGGGAAAGGAAAAGAAAGAATGACAAAACTAAGAGTTCCAGCCTTTCAAAAGACAAAAATAAAGCTAAATCTCGTGTGGACAAAAATACAACAAAAACTCATACTATTTGTCTAAAATACCCCTCAATGCTCTGAAAAATTAAAACAGTCCTCTGCATCTCGTCTCCAACAAGATAGAAACTTTGAAATTGAAACTCCAGGAACCCTAAGTTCCGTAACCTGCTTCAGCCGCCGCCCTGCACCTCGACTCACGCCGCCGCCGGGCACCTTGCATCTCGACTCACGCCGTCGCCATTCCATCCCATGCTACCGCCACCGCAGCCTTCACCGCAAGCGGTTTCTCCCTCGTCTTTCTCTTCTTCTCTCTCCCACCCGTCTGCAATCTCTCCGCCCATATCCAACCTTTCTCCTGCAATCTTTACCCTTTTCCGACCTTCTTTAACGACAGACCTCTATGTTCGGCGGCGACAACGAGAGACCTCTTCGGTGATTGATATGCACTATTTCCTAGTGCATAAGTTTGTTATTTTAGTATTGTTTGATTGTTATTTTTAATTGTTTAGTTTAGTTTGTGATGTACTCTATAGATTTATTTTGTAGGTTTTAATTTGTATTTTTAGTGTGTATTTTGTTGTAAGTACCATAAGAGATGCAAGGAAGTATTATAGGCACCAAAGGAAGGCAAGATGAATTGTGGAAATATATTCTGGTAGCAAACCCGGTCGGGTTGCAATATAACCCGGTCGGGTTGGAAGTGACATATGAAGCCAAAGGGAAGCTTCGCACCAAAACCCGGTCGGGTTGGTATAAAACCCGGTCGGGTTGAGTTGACAAGAACAAAAGAACGTGTCCAAGATCAAGAGAACGTGGGAAATATCCGATTTGATACGTAACCCGGTCGGGTTTTGACCCAACCCGGTCGGGTTGAATGTGATTTCAGCACCTTCCGAGCAATTAAGGATACCCGATCGGGTATTCTACATACCCGGTCGGGTATCAGACCCAGCCACCTCAAAATACCTATAAATACACCCCCTTTTTCTCCCATTTAGACCACCAATTCACATATACTCTTTAGCTCAGTTTAGATTAGTGTTTTCTTTATATTTTCTATCATGTTTAGTCTCCAAATGAGGAGCTAAACTCTTCCATCTTGGTTTTGCTACTTTGAAGCTTAATGAATTTGTAAGTTGTGAGTTATTATCTTTAATCTTCTTGCTTGAATATTAATTCTTTCTTTAAATACTATTTCTATATCAATGTTGGGGAGTGTTACTAAGATGACAATTAGTTAACATCTTGACATTAGTTATAGTAATAGTTATTTCTTCCTCTACGTTAATATCGGGGAGTGTTACTAAGATGACAATTAGTTAACATCTTGATATTAACTATAGTAGGATTCATCTTCTTTAATATTCTTCCTTGAGTATTAATTAATATATTCCTATTCATATTTCATATTAATATTTTGAACATTACTTAAAGGATCAACTAGTTTTGTTTCATATATTAATTATTACTAGAATCGGTCGATTAATACGCTTGTTATTAATTCGGTCCTTTCGCGGTAGTAAACTTGGGTTATTAATGCATGCGTTTCATGGTTAATAAACCAAGGGGAATTAATTATATTGATTAAACCAATAAACCGCTTGTGTTGAGGTTATCAATCTCAATCGTTTTCATCTTGATTTTATTGCTACTATCGAGTGAATATACGGCGCGTGTTCTATATTAACTCGGTAGTAAGTTTTATTAATGAACGCGTCTCGTTATTAATAACTACCCTCGATGAATTGGATATACTCCTCGATTGAGTATTCGAGAGGAAGATAGTTAAAGATATAACCGGGATCGACGAACATTTCATTAAGTGGATAAAAGCAAAGCCAAGTCTTCTTCTCATTAATTAAACCACATAACTCGTTCATCTTCGTATTTAAATATAATTTAAAGTTCATCAACCAAATATAAACCCCCCTTATTGTTACTTATCTATTTCTGTAAGAAGAAAAGTATTCCTTTCCCTGTGGATACGAACCTTACTACACTATACTACGTATTAGTGTCGTATTGTATTATTACTTTGAGTGCACCTCACGACAAAGTGCACGTCAGTGATCCCCGGATCTGGTTCTACGGTGGCGATAGTATACTTCGATGGCGGAGGCGACAATAAACTTCTTTGGCAGCGTCAACTCAGTTTCAGATCTGAGTGGAGGAGACAGCGGCTTGGGAACATGGGAAGGCCCTGGGACGGCGAGGTAGGGCGGAAGAGGGGACATGACAAGAGGCTAGGGAGGTGGTTGGGGGCTGGGGAGGTTGCTGGGGGTTAGGGAGGTGGTGGGCAATTGAGTCGGGGTGGGTTGGTCGTCAGCTGCCGCGGTCGGCGGTGGTCACTAGGTCACTCGGCGGCGGTAGTGACCGGAAGTTGGGGGTGAAGGTCACTGGATCGAGCTGTGTCACTAACCAGAGAATGGATGCGCTTGCTAGTCATTGAAGTCACTATCAGTGGCGGTGATAGTCATTTCAGCGACGGCGACTGGTCGGAGCGACGTAAGTGATTAACTGAAGCGGCGGCCGGTAGACAATGGCGTTGGCGATTTAAAATATGTGTGACTAATGTTTGTAACTGTAATTCTATCCGGTGGGGCAGCGGTTTTAACTGGTCGAGCAACGAAAGTCACTAAATGGGCGGGTGGACGTTTGTCACTGGGCGGTCGGACGTTGGTAACCGAACAGGCGTGCGGACATGGGTTACTGGACGGGCAGACGTTAGTCATTGTGATGTTCGTCACTGGACTGTAGTAACTGAGATGGTAGTAACTTAAATGAAGTAACTGAACTGTAGTAACATGACTTTAGTAATTGGGATGGAAGTCACTGGAACGGTAGTAACTGGTCGGGTCAGGTAGCTATAACTGTAACTGGTCGGGTAAAGTAACTATAACTATAACTGTAACTGTAACTGTAACTGATCGGGTCAGGTAACTATAACTGGTTGGGTCAAATAACTGTAACTGGTCGAGTCCGATAATTATAATTGATCCGGTCGAGTAAGTGTAACTGGTCAGATAATTATAATTAACATTGAATACTTCTTACTCAACGGGCTGATAATTGTAACCGGACGAGTTAAATAATTGTAAATAGTCACTGGATAACCGTAACTTCGGATATATGAAAATCATACATTTTTTTTAATCTTGGAAGTTGCCGAATTCCGACTTGCTGTAGCATTTGAGGAACGTGTATAGATTATGGGCTGTGTGGTTAACAAAGCAGGGGCGGAGCATTTATTATTAGTATGGAAAATTATCACGCATATAACTAAAACTGGAAGTGCTTCCCATCCTATGACTAGTTTAGTTTTATTCTTAATCTATGACCGCAGATGCAGATCTCCCATGCACGTGTGTTTTGACTTTTAAGCCAATACCAAGACTATCCTCGTATGCAATGAATGAATAATTTTGTCATTCCTAAAATTGTGGCGATGCATATCACGTGGGTTCTCCTTATCATGATTTAGCATAAGAATCGGATTTGTAACTGCCGTGCGTATAACAGGTCCTTTAATAAATGGAATATCCTAAAAATAAGGAAGTAATTAATAGAAAGTAATTATTTTAATTAATTTTTCTCCCTTAACTGTACGTTCTTTTCATCTTCATCCATTCACGTCTACCATTTCACGGCATTATCCATGGATTCTGTTCCCATAGGTTTCTCGGAAATGTGGATTATGATAAAATACGACGGCCAATGGGTGTCAAATACTTTGTTCTCTAGTATTCATGTTGCCGGCATAACTATACCATCGAATTGTACGTATGATTTTCTATGTTCTCAAGTTTGTGCTGCAATGGGAGAGCCCTATGCGTTTTTGCTGCGTGCCCACCCCCCGTGAATGTATGTGATGACGGTACTCTACTCTTTTATCTACAATTGAAGAGTTTGCAAAAGGACCCGATGCAAATGCCCTTGTGTGTTGAATTTGTATCCGGTGAGGAGGTTGATGCTACGACTGGAGAGGAATAGAGCATCACAATATGTTATGATATTCACAATGAAAGTGGAATTAATCCTACGAGTTATCTCGAAGAGCGTGGTGGCTTAAGTGATGAAGGCAATAATTTCAGTCACACTGTGGATGCAGACTTTGAACTTGAACATATTTTGAGTGCTGAAATTACGAGGTTAAATTCTCTCGTAGATGAAGAGATTCATAATATGCTTGTAGTCAAGCATTCCGAACCCACACGCATTGCATTGAATAGCATCTATAGAAGCAAGAAGGAACTTGATTTTCACTTAAAGATGTATGCCATTACCAACTTTTTTCAATATAGAACGAAGACATCTTGCCCGAAGGTTTTGCATGTTGTGTGTGTTGATTACCCCAATTGCAAGTGGGCTGTGCATGCTGTGTGCATCGATAAAGTGTCATTGTTCCAAGTTAAAAGGTATGCATTCATTTCTCTGAATTTATTGCCTTGCATGTCTATTACTGCCTTGTCACTGTTTTGTTGTTTATACGTTGACTGCATGTGTATTACTGCCCTTCATAACATTGGTTTTAAAACAAATGAGCAGTGGCAATGACGTATAAATTTAATTCCCTATGATGCTCTTTTATGGTGTCATTGCTTTGTATATTACTGCCTACGTAATATAAATTTACAGAATTTAATTCGGCAGTGTCTAGGACATATAAATTTAATGTCCTATTACGTTTTTTATGTTGTCAGTGTTTTGGTTTGTTGGGAAAAAAATGGTAAAAGGGAAATAAAATCACTATTTGAACTTGGGCATAAATATTATTCCCTTTGTGCAAATGTTATATTTTCGCTCCTCTTGCATTCATTTTTGCTTCATGTTAATGTATCTCATTACTGCCCTAGGTAATATAGTGTAAACATATTTAATTGCTCACTCAAAAGAACATATAAATTTAATGCCTTACTACGTGCTTTTATTGTGTCACTTTTTACATAAAAAATTGCTTTAAGGGGAATAATTTCATTATTACAATGTGGGTATTTTTTATTAATGCACTTTGATCAAATGTTATAATGCCCTCCCCTAGCCCTCCTTTTTGCATTAAGGTCTCTTTGCATGTCAATGTATTTCATAATTTTTCCCACTGTCCTAAATAATACCCTGTTTCCACTTCACTTTTAATGTCCTCTCCCCACTTTAATTGAATGGCTATATATATTTTATGAAAGTAAGTTCTAATACATAGTGAATTTCCATCATGTGTTTACGTTATTTAATTAATTGTATAAATTGCCGAAATGTATTTGAATTGGATTTTTTTAATGTTTGCACTTTTTATGTGATCATAATTACATTATTTATTCTTTTTTATTTCTTATTACATATGCATTAAGTTTGTGTTTATATTTTTATTCTGATCAATGTGCATTAAATTATTATCCACTGTATTGCCCATTAGATAATGCCTAATCTTATCAATTTTTTCCAGATTTGACTCTGAGCACACATGCCCCATTGATGTGCGTCAACGAAATAACCGCCAGGCTACGTCTAGGATTATTGCCGAACTAATCAAACACGAGTACGGTGATCCCTCCAATAAGCCATACCCTCCGAAATCAGTCATGCTTGATATGCATACCAAGTATGGCTTGCCAAAGAAGCAATGGAATTGGCTATGGGATCTGAAAAACAATCATATGCTCGGTTACCTTCCATGTGTTATGTGCTTGATAGGAGTAACCCAGGTTCTATTGTTTCTTATTCCTACAAGGAAAATGGTGAATTTAAAAAAAAAAAATCATGTGCCTTTCTGCATGGAAAAATGGTTGGATTCATTGCATTCCTGTTATAATTGTGGATGGGTCTTTTTTGAAGTCATATTACAAGGGTACATTACTCATTGCATGTACACAAGATGCAAACAAACAAATATTTCCATTGGCATTTGGTATTTGTAGTGGGGAAAATACTGAAAACTGGTCATGGTTCTTCAGCATGTTGAAGCGTTCGTTGATGCATATGGATGATCTATATATTGTGTCTGATAGGCACGAGGGCATTATTAGTGCTGTGTGTTCTGTATTTCCTCATGCGGAGCATGGGTATTGTGTTTACCACATTCTGGCTAATTTGAAAACAAGGTTTCGTGGCTCCCAAACAACCGTGTCATAGAAGTTTTTGCAAGCTGCTCGTGTAGGATTTGTGTATGAGTGTGAAGAGTACCTTCACATGCTTGATAGTGAGGATGAACGTATTCGTACATATTTAGAGCGGATCGGTCACGACAAATGGTCTCATGCATATGCCAGTCTGAATCGATACTCGGTTATGATGTCAAACAATGCGGAGTCATTAAATGCAGTTAATGCCACGGCCCGAGAATTCCCAATCTGTAAGTTGATAGAGTTTATTATTGCTAGGATGCAAAAGTGGTTCTATGAAAGGCGACAAACTTCAACGTCAAACACTTTTCGTTTATCTACACACTTTGAGTCTGAGCTAGTACTTTTACAAGCTATGGCTGCCGTGATGACAGTATTCCCCTCAACTCATTGTCTTTATTTCACTGCTTTATTTGTCTTCATTCCACTGCTATTTCAATTAATTCTACATTTCTAAATATTTTATTTTATTTTTGGTTATTTTATAATGAATTGTGCAGGTGAAACCATCATGTGCTTTTGAGTTTGAGGTGTTTGATAAGAAATCCCGCTCGTATGTTGTCAACTTGAAGGAACGTACGTGCACTTGTCGGGAATTTGAGCTTGATGGATTTTTGTGTGGGCATTCCGTTGCTGCCATTCGCTCTCGACCAGGACTTTCTTGCTACGATTATATATCAGAATTCTATACAGCACATCGTTGGGCACAAACATATTGTGGCATTATTCATCCTATTGGGAGTCCGGAGGGTTGGATGGTACCCTCCCATGTGAGTCAAATCACTTGCAAGCCCCCATCATGTGAATCACGACCTCCTGGAAGGCCGAAGAAGAGAAGGATTCCTTCTACTGGAGAACATGTTCGGAAACAAACATGCACTCATTATCACATGGTTGGACACAACCGAAAGACCTGTAGAAATCCGATTCCGCTACACATGCGTTAAAAACTGCTTTTAATTGCCGTTTTTTTTAATATTGCTACGAATTTAGTGACATTCACCAGTTTGGTTTTGCTTTCTTTTTGAACATTCTTGTTACTGTTATTTATTTCTGGATATCAATTCCGTATGACTTACTTCCCTCCATGTGTGAATGATCGTACTTTACTAGTTATTTAATGTCCATGTTAATAGTTTAATTCCCTACATAGACCGCATACCACTAATTACATTGTTTTTGCCAGGTCCTATAAGTTTTTTCATAAAAACTAACTCATCGCCCATGGCATTTTATTTACATTGCTTTATTTTCCCTGAACTTAACCTTCATACTTCAAAATTCACTAGTATCCTGTTAATGGCATACACGTACATGATAGTCTACTAATTCTTCCATGTACATGTTCATATTAATGCCCATGGGCTTTTCCATTTTCCCTGAGCTTAACCTTCATACTTCAAAATTCACTAGTATCCTGTTAATGGCATACACGTACATGATAGTCTACTAATTCATCTAATACTTGGAATAATTCACTGTCTTGTAATGTTAATGGCACCTTTTTTTTACTTAATTCACAAGTCAAATGTTTTAAATCTTTGTCCAGTAACTTTATACACCCGTTATCAATTGTTCACACAAAGATTCAAGCTATATAGGCAGTGTATCTATAAGAAGTGCAATAACATTTGTCTACTCCATCACATACCAAAACAATAAAATAAAATGTTCAACTTGTAACATAAATTTTCTCAAACCACCAACATTCAGAATCCAAGGAATACTGCAATGTATCATCTCCACTTGTCCTAATACCCATATCTCAACATTAAAAAAAAAAACACGAAAGGCATTAATTTCTCAAGGTTATGCTCCTATTACACCAAAATAAGCTAGTAGCTCTGTCGTCATCTTGCCGCGGTAAGCATTAATATCTTTAGGCCTCAGGTACTCCACATCTTTGCCCGTCATTAGATACTCAGCCATCTTCAACACAAACATCCCACAACTGTCACTGTTTGGGAATAAATAAAATTATCAATTAATGACTTAGTAATCAATTGTACCAAACCATCATTGAACAAATTACATACCTATCATTTTGTTGTGGGCATTCTTTCACCATATGTATCTGCAAGAAGTCATCCCCCATAGGCCCCTCACTTCGCTCATTGTACACTCCTAGCTTATCCATCAATCTAGGTAAATACATTTGCATGCTCGGGAGGTAATGGTGAATGTGTATGTTTGTTTGTCCCCGACGAACGATAGAATCATACACACGTATGCACTTCTTACCTATGTCCAGCACTAGCAGAATCCAGTGGTTACCTGCATTAAATGTCATATAAACACTTACTTCCCTACCTCAAAAAACATACTGCCTTAAACATACTGTCATAAATTACTGCCCTACACATACTGTCTTAAATAACTCACCAAAGGAATTCAATTGGATACCTGTATTCAATGGCATGTAGACATTGCTCTGTTTCATCCCATGGCAGTGCGTAGTCCAAACGTGTCCCAAGTATGGTACACATTATATTCTTATTTAAAGCACTTTCTGACACTGGCATTTGATTGCTAATGTGGTTCTCGTAATGATGTTTGACCAAAGGCATAAACATAGGGTCTGCTGTTGTAAATTTCTGCCGCAGCCTGTATTGTTCAGCTTTCATCCTCAAGAAATACATCCCTAACTCCACATGCTTCACAAAACAATTTTTTTGCTTCATTATTCATTACTGCATTAGACTCGAGAATATACGTATTATGAAGAAAAAAATAATATTACACAATATAAATTTACCGTGTCACCTAACCAATTCCCTGGGAAGTAAATCGAGTAGTACCATGACTTCCTATCAATGCTTCCATCCCCGAATCCTCCTTTCACGCATTTGATCTTTAGGTGATCATATCATGCCTTGTATTTCTTGTCCTTGCTTTTTTGGTGGTTTTTAATTAGTCCTTCATGCATGATTTCTGCTGTTTTTCAAGCATTGCTGCAGTTGGCATTTCGGAAGGATCTAAACTGAATGGGCCCACTATAGCATGCGGCACATCGTCACCTATATCTTGCTCCTTTCCTTTATCTCGTTTCATCCGTTTATCTTTTCGGGGCCGAGAGAAGGTGAATCTTATTGGCCATTTGGACTGTTGTTTTGGCATACCATCAACCGCCAGCGGGGTTGTGTCCCCTGTGTATACCTGATTGAAGCATAAAAATGTATTCATATATATATATATATATATATATATATATATATATATATATATATATATATATATATACTTAATACACTACCTCCAATAAACATACTGTCCTAACTAATTTCCAATTCATTCCCAACTCACCAAATATACATACTGTCTTAAAGCTATTGTCCTAAATTATTGCCACGCCCATTAATGTGCTACTCACAACTCACCAAACCATTCACTAGTATAAATGTAATATTACTTGAATTAGTAGAAAATATAATATTCATTTATATATATTGTCCTAAACATACTTTCCTAACTAATATCCAATTCATTCACGTACAACTCACCAAATACGCATACTGCCTTAAAGATACTTCCCTAAATTATTGCCACACGCATTAATCTGCTATTAACAACTCACCAAATCATTCACTATTAATGTAATAATACTTGATTTGGTATAAAATCTTATATTCATGTATACATTGTCCTAAATCTTATTTACCACAATGTGGGAGTCAATTGGTTCTACACTTTTGTCGCTTATTGTTGGGTCAATGTCTTCAATCCCCTTGTCATTTTCAGTATGCACCACTTCAGCCTCTGTTGCACTCCTCTCCTGCTTATCCTACATGACCACCAAAATAATTCAAATCAATAGTTCATGCTACAATATCAGTCATCATATATGCTGAAAACACATTATACTGCTTTCGAGCATATTTATTTAATATTCAGGAGCTTTAATGACCTGTAATATATAACGAGAGTATTATTATAGTTTATAATATTCAAATACCCTACTCAACTATATAAGTTTATATGCAAGGGCAATAATATACTAATCTTTGGACCTTTATAGAATTGAAAATATATACTATGAAAACTTATGAATATAGAATAGTATATTTATTATAGCGATCTTTGTTATATGATACATACCTTGGCAGTGGTGAGCAATTCTCTTTCATTTACGTCTAGTCCACTGGCCTGTATCAGGAACAGTTTGATAATCAAATAGGTAATACACATTTCTAATATAACAACTTCACCACACAGTTATTGTAAAAATGAAATACCTTTTCACCATCCATTTCACTGCCTTGTGGATTCTTGTTATTGCCCAAGAATTGCTCACAAATGATATCAACCTGAGCACATAGCTGTTGTGTATCCAGCACTCCAATTTCTTCATTGCTCTGGAAAACATGTTGCTCCTCTTGCCTCTCCTCTTGCCCTGTCATATCAGACCTCATGTTTTTTTCAATCAAATCCACCTCCATTACCAGGTTTTGCGTATTCATTGTGCCATCAATGTCCTTGAACATGTCGCTCTGTGTCAATTCCACATCGTCTTCAATCATCCCATCAACGACATCTGCTCCCTCAGAACCCTGTTCCTCAACTTCTTCATGCCCATGATCTTGCTCACTATCATATACCACGTTTTCATTACAATCCAGACCCAAGTCAAAATTCGGCATTGCTTCCTTATCTTTCTTCTCTACTTTCTTGGACACTTTCTTCATCCTAGGCATCTTCCGCATTCTGCCTCTAATTGATAAAGCTTTCTTCAACATGCTTGATTGTTTCATTGCCAACTCACACAGCTTTTCAACCTTCAATTCTAGCTTTTTTATTCTTTTTCCTTGTAAAGTCACTGTTGCCATTACATTGTGTATCATGGAATCACCTTTCTCATCAATGGTACCTGTCTTTTTACTATGCCCTCTCACTCTTTTCGCAGCCACCTTAGGCTTTACAACCTTAGGCTCACGTTTTAATGCCTTGCGCATCAATTTGCTTGGGCCTGGTTCTACAAAATCATCACTCTCACTTCCATCCCTAACACCCATGTCAGTAGCATCACTTGTGGATGCTTTAATCACCAAGTCCATCTTCAACTCTTCATTAGTCAGCTTCATTTCTTCCCATTGTACCTGCAAACATAACGTCAAAACATGACTATATTACACCATTATAAATATACAATTACACATAAAATTTTTGAGGAAGTAATTGCACCTGCTCATTTTTAAATATAACATCATCAAGCACTTGTTATGCAGGCCTAGCAGGAGCTGACCATTGCACTGTCCTAGGCCACAACTTTGAACCCTCCCTCCTCACGCACACTTTTGCTTTTTGAAGACCTGGAAATGTCTCGTACGCCCAGATTTGCAATGCATATAGATAGCCTGAAAAAGTAAATCTTGCACCCGGCTCTTGGTAAAGAACACTTGCACACTTCCTTACTTTTTCTTGTAAATCATCCCATACAACGTCCCCCCATGGATATGTATTAAATTGCTCGATATCATCTGCCAGATTGATGTACATAGTTGAGAACTTTGTTGATGTTTGATTCCCCAGAATATAGCTGCTGAGAACATGCAATAATCCAAGCTTTACTGCATCCATTTTCTTGCTTCCGCTTCTTTTGGCCTTCCCTTATTCAAAAGCCACTTTAATTTGCCCTCTTCCAACACTAGTCATGCCACTAAAGTATGTACTCCACAAATGCCCTGGAGTCTGTGTGGAAAGGCTTGGCTTCTTTGTACCAAATGGGAACCCGGTGATAACTGCCAGATCCCTTTTTGTGAAGCAAGCAATTTTATTGCCAATCAGAAACTCCAGCTTAGTTTTGTCATTGGGCACATTCAAACGGTCAACATTATTGGCCATGAGAAGGATTAATAGCTGCCCATTTACCCAAGGAATATTTCCCAAGTCGAGGAAGTATCCGAACACTGTTTTTTTAAATTCAGTGAGCTCGTCCTTTGTTAAGCAACTTCTTATACTTTCAACTGCCTTTATCATATTGCAATAACTATTTATTCTCATTGACTTTTCAAGAACAAAGTTATCACACTCCGTCGCCCTCACATATTCCTGCAACATAAAACATTTAACTTATTACCTCTCAAATAAAATTTAATCCTTCATTCACAATTCCCACTAATCTGTCAAATTATTGCCAAAATGCAATGATAAGAACAGAAAGTAACAATCAACGGAAATAACCGTTGCCAAAGCTTGAAAGCTTAAACACACACAAATTATTATTAATCAAGCATAGTTTGAATAACCCTCTTGAGGGGATTAAATAGACTACAAGTCCTAATAAAAGGAAAACTCCAAAACAACTTAAACTAGGAAATAAAGTAACTTAGTAAATAACTCATATTAGGAAATTAACTTAACTTAGGAAACTAAGTAATTAAACATCCCATTCAGCCGCCCCAGATTCAGCCGACCCAGCCCACGGATGTGGACTTCTCCCGTCCTCGCCTTCGGTACACGATCAAAGGTCTGGGAACCGGCTCTTCCTCGATCGCACTTGACTCGGCCTGCTTCGTATCAATTTCATCCTCCTTTGGAAGAACCTTGTCCTCAAGGTTGAAATCAGGGAATTGGCTTGAGAAGCTCGCTTTATTCATCCAAGTTGCATCGTCCGTAGACTGTCCAGCCCATTTAACCAACAACTCCTCTTCCTTGTCATCTTTCTTTCTGGTAGCTAATATGTCCTCAGGTTCAAACACGGGTCCTACGGGTAGTTCCAAGCTTTCGGGTAACTCATTTTCCACAGGGTGATCACCGACTACCCTCCGCAGCTGTGATACATGGAAGACCGGATGGATACGGCTGGTTGCTGGCAGTGTCAAACGGTAGGCTGCCTTCCCAATGCGTGCTTCAACCACAAATGGCCCATAGAACTTTGCAGACAGCTTGTGGTATGATTGGCGGGACAGAGTTGTTTGCCGATGAGGCCTGACCTTCAAAAATACTTTATCTCCAACCTGGAATTCCACGTCGTGTCGGTGTTTATTTGCTTGGGTTGCCATGCTTTGTTGTGCCTTTTTGTAGATTCTCTTTTAACCGCCTTAACATCACATCCCTGCTACCCAACACATCTGTTATGCCAGCTATTGCCACGTCATCCGCCTGCTGGTCTGCTCACTGGGCTGCTGCCTGAACCGGACCGAACCGGTTCGTACTTGTGGAGGCCGGTTCACCCATTTCCAGACCGGTTCCTACCATTTTCGGCCATGCCGGATCCAACGGTGAGCTCCGTTTGTCCAAATTCGGCTCCGAAAATAAGGTACGAGATATTTTGAGTGTTTTATTATGGATAAATCATCATCGGACACCATGATTGCACTCACTTCCACAAATTACAATATGTGGAAGCCTCGGATGGAGGATGTGCTAAATTTGAGGGATTTAGCCGATCCTCTTGATAATAATCGCGTGAAACCGGATAAAAAGACGGATGAAGAATGGACAAAAATGAATCGAAAAACTGTCGCACAAATTCGACAGTGGATCGATCATAGTGTGTTCCACCATGTTGCGCAAGAACAAAGTGCTTACACACTATGGGAGAAGCTTGGTAGCATGTATCAAGCAAAAACCGCACGAAATAAGACTTTACTAATGAGGCGATTAGTAAACCACAAATTACGAGGTGGTATTTCGGTGTCAGAACACACCAGTCAATTACAGGATCTTGTGAATCAGTTGAGCACCACCGGATGGGTTCTCAAAGATGAAGAGCAGGCGATACTACTCTTGAGCTCTCTACCTGACAGCTGGGAGACTCTTGTTGTCACTCTCAGCAATTCTGCTCCCAATGGCAAAATGACTATGCAGATGGTCACAGATGCCCTTATGAATGAAGAAGCCTGAAGAAAAGAAGCCGGGACTGAACAATCATATGCCTTCATGTCAGAAACCAGCAGACGAGGGGGAGGCAGATATGGAGGAAGAAGTCAAGGTCGAGGTAGAGGCCAAGGTCAAAACAGAGGAAACTCTCAAGTTCGTGGCAGATCACAAGAGAGAGGTATGTCCTATGAAAACAATAATTGGTTTGAAGGATATTGCAATTATTGTAGTAATTATGGGCGCAGAAAAAGAGATTGTAAAAAGTTTCTACGAGAGCAGCCACAGACGAGTCAAAATACTAGCCAAGAAGATGGTGAGACCATGGTTAGTTTGTCATCAGACGTGTGTCTTGTTACACATGGTGAACAAGAATGTTTACACGTAGGTACTCATGATGTTGAGTGGGTGATTGATACAGTCGCATCATTTCACGCCACTCCATACCAGAATTTATTCACATCTTATAAGTCCGGGGACTTTGGAGCTGTGAAAATGGGAAACACCAGTTTCTCAAAGATTGTTGGCATTGGTGATGTGCACATAACAACCAATGTCGGATGCACACTTGTGTTGAAAGATGTTCGACATGTTCCGGATCTTAGATTGAATCTCATCTCCGGTACAGCTCTGGATCAGCAAGGATATCTTAACCGATTCAAAGAAGGTATGTGGAAGTTATCTAAAGGTTCCTTGGTTGTTGCAAGAGGCCATATTTGTGGTACTCTTTATAAAACTCATGCAAAGTTGTGTCATCCGAGTCTCAATGCTGTTGAAGAAGAGATATCACCAAACTTGTGGCACCGAAGGCTAGGCCACTTGAGCGTGAAGGGATTAACAACTCTTGCAAAGAAGGAAGTCATTTCCATGGGCAAAGGTGTTGCCCTAGATCCATGTGAGCACTGTCTATTCGGGAAACAACACAGGGTTTCCTTCAGTTCTACCAGGAAGAACCATTCAGAGTTACTCAGTCTTGTACACTCTGATGTATGCGGACCCATTGAAGAGGAGTCACTTGGAGGAAGCAGATATTTCGTGACATTCATTGATGATGCATCACGAAAGGTATGGGCTTACTGTTTGAAGAGTAAGGATCAAGTGTTTGATCGCTCCAAATTATTTCATGCGATGGTAGAAAGAGAAACAGGGAAGAAGTTGAAGTGTCTACGTTCAGACAATGGAGGAGAGTATAGTTCTCGAGAGTTATCAGCATATTGCGCCGCATATGGAATCAGACATGAGAAGACGGTTCCACGAACTCCGCAACACAATGGTGTAGCCGAAAGAATGAATCAGACCATTATGGAGAAAGTTCGTTGCATGCTGAGTATGGCTAAACTACCTAAGCCATTCTGGGGTGAAGCTGTGCTGACCGCTTGTTATCTTATAAACAGGTCACCTTCTGTTCCTTTAAACTTTGAAGTGCCAGAAAAGAAATGGTCAAGAAGAGATGTTTCTTACTCTCACTTGAAAGTGTTCGGGTGCAAGGCATTTGCACATGTGTCCAATGAGTTGAGACAGAAGCATGATCTCAAGTCAAACCCATGCATCTTCATCGGGTA